GTGACACGGCGGGAAAGCCTCGCCAGCCTCGACCTGTAACCCCAAGTCTCTTCGTATCCAACAGGGCACAGGCGGTCGGCCGGCCCGCACGGTGCCCGGGGCATCTGGCCTCGCCGAGGGGAAGGGCGAAAAGTACCAGGAAAGTGGGCGAGGGGAGGCAGCAGCCGGGCCCTCCCCTCCCCCCGCCCCCGCCCGCCCCAGCCTCCTACTCACGGTTGTCGGATGCCCTCGGACGGTGCAGGTGCCCAGGCGCAAGGGCGGGCTGCCGCGAGAGGCCCTGGGCGGACTGGCGTTGGTGGGCGCCGGAGGGACGGGGGAATAGGTGGCACTATAGTCGTAGAGGAGAATGGGCGACGCAAGGCGCCTTTGAAGATAATCGGATGCCATTGTGGAGATGCAGTGATTGGGGGCGTGTGCCTGGCTGCTCCCCCCCCTCCCCTCCCCGCGCGGCCCCCTCCCCCGCCCGTGCTCCCTCCTCCCCGGGCAGCAGCGGGCACCAGTCAGTCCCGGGGTGACGTCTGCACCGCGCGCCGCCACAGCCACTCCCGCCTCACCCAAGTGCCATCGCCACACGACGCATTATCCGCTCCGATCGCCGCCTCCCGTAGGTACACGTCGTATGCGGGTGCAAGCGGCGGGNCTCCGCGCGGTAATGTTGTTTTGAAGGCGACCTCCTCCTCGCGCCTCTTACTGATGCTTGGTGTCCGCACGCAGGCGAGGGAAGGAATCCGAGGGACGCGCGGTTTTGTTCGTAGAGAGAGCGCGAGAGTGCTCGCGACCGGGCCATGGAGCCCCTGCCCCTGGAGCCCCCGCCCGCCCCCGCCCCCGCCGCCCCTCAGTACCCCGCCGAGAACGGCGCGGCAGACCAGTACCCCGAGGGCAGCGCGGTGGCCCTGCCCAGGATGTTCCCCCTCGACGCCGCCGCCGACAAGATGTTTCCCAACGAGAACGGCGCCGGCGCCACCTCGCGCCTCTACCACAGCGACGACAGCGCGGTGCGGCGCATGTACCAGCGGGAGAGCGGCGCCCTCCGCAGGATGTACCACAGCCTCAGCGACTACGGGATGTACCCTGCCTACCTCTCCGGCCTGGGGCTCTCCACCATAGCGCCCAGCGAACCAGGTGAGGCAGCTCTTCCCGCCCACCCG